CCAACCCAAATTGTTTAGTACGTGTTTCAAATCTCAGAGCTGGTGCACAGAGAGTACAAGGTACCACGATGCAGGCGTGTGTTAGTGTGCTTACTCTGAACTGCTGGAGACTAGTGCTTCACCCCTGAGCTGTAGGTCTGCTCCTGAAAACTGGGTTATTCGCTTTCATAGCCTGGGACAATCATGAAAACCAGGGGAACATTCACAAGGTGCAGACAGTGTTCCATTTGCATGGTGGTCCCTGGCCTGACCTCCATGAGACCCATTTTCTTGCCATGAGACCTTTGCGTTCCAATCAGCAGCAGAGGCAGACTCCTACCTAGCCCTTCGCCAGCCCCTCCTGGCTCCATCACATCCCATCCTGAGCTCCCTGCACTCTGTCCCAGGCCCTGTGGGCTGTCCCCATGCTGCATGATGCCTGCTCAGCCCCAGCCAACACCAGGGACGGCTTCCTGGCTCTCCAGCCACTCAAAGTTGGTATCTGTGGCAGTCTGCATTGTGAGGCTGTGCCCCTCTGCTGTGCCTGGCTGCAGGGACCACCGGGTATGGACAGTGAGGGGCCTTACGCTGTCTGTACCCTGAATACACCCTCTCCTCACATTCTGAGTGCCCTGCCTACCCTGGTGTCTGTGCTGTCCGCAGCCAGGACTTCCAGGATGCCCTGTGCAGCGGGCATGTGCAGCCCAGCCTGCAATCCCTTAATGCCAGGGCAGCCACTCAGACAGCACCGTGCTGTGGGCCGGAGCTTTGAGTGGCCACCAGCAGAGCGACTTGGCCCAGTGCAGACAGTGCTGTGGTTTCCATGGAGGCCACAGCTGAACTTTTTCTAGGAAGGGAAGAAGCAATTCGCCAGCCCCTGTATACTGCTCTGCCTGTGTCCATATGGCCACGTGGGTTCCCTCAGAGACAGAAATACATGGTGTTTCGGTCTGTCCAGCAGACAGCGGGACAGCTGGGCTACATGCAGACAGGAATGGTAAAAAGGTGTCACCTGCAGTCCAGCTCCTCAGGAGAGGATGTGACTGCCATTTCCAGTGGCACCAGCAGGAGGCGCTGAGTGTCCACGGGGAGGCCGGGTCACAGCGAGCCCGTGGAGCAGCTCTGGGGAGTGGAGGGTTAGGGTTAGTGTGCCTTTCTGCAGCTGCTGAGAGAAAGAGATCTGGGGCAGCACAGGAGGGTCCGGAGTCTTGGCCTCGCTGTCACTGTCACACGAATTTGCCACCCATCTTCAGGAAAGGTGGTGCGGTGTGCAGGTTGAGCAGTGAGTGACAGGGGCAGGAACCGGGCAGTGGACTGTGACTTAGGGAGTCTGCCAGTCCGCACTCTTGGGTAGGACACTGGAGATGTGGCCTAAGACACTGGTGGAAAAAGAGGAGACTTGGAAATTTAGAGATTTAGAGAGGAGAATGACCACATCTTCTCCTGTTGTCGTGAAAGTAGAGGCCGAAGTGTCCCCACAGGGCTGGTCTTGCAGCAAGGCTGACAGGAAGACAGGTAGATTCGCAGATCCCTACTGGAGGCTGTCAGCTAGCCTGAGTCAGAACTTCCTGGTGATACAGGGCCCATGGCAGAGACAGGAACTGTCCTCTAGGTAGTCACAGCTCACAGGCCTTTCCTTGGAGCTGTGTCCTGTGGGCACCTGTCCCTCTCCCTCTCTCAGGACACCTCCTCCTGGGCCTGGGGTCATAACCCGGCTTGCACCCATGTTTACAAGAGGCTCCTGGAGTTGTAGAATCCCAGCCATGTGCTTTTTACGGGAGCATTTGTCCCAGGAAGTTACTGGGAAAAGATGTCACTGTGCCCAGGAGCTTCTAGCACACGGTCTGGGGACCCAGTTTCCAGGCAGGTGTCTGGGAGGGGACTCAGGGTCAGACTGGGCACCTCAGGGACCAGGCTGCCTGCCCAGGAACTTCTTGCTATGCAGACAGCCGGGGGTGGGGAGGCCGAAAACAGGCCTTGTTCTATTTTTACAAGGTGATTGTCACTGAGCCCTTGGTGGAGCTCGATGCCGAGTCAGGCAGTCTCTGGGATTTGGGGACACAGTTCCTGAGCCTGTCTGGACAGCAGCGGGGAGGCTCGTGTGCTTGCTTCATGCAGCCAGAGTGAGGTCCCACTGAGACCACTGCAGAGCACCAGAGCCACCGAAGTGGAGCACACCAGAAGCCCGGCACTCTGGGAGGCGAGGCAGGAGGGTCATGTGTCTCAGATCAAACCCAACCGTGACAACAAGACAATAATAGTAAACAAACTTTGAAAGGGCTGGGTAGGTAGCTCCGTGCAAAGGCCCTGGGTTTATCCCCAGTATCGCAGGAAGTCAGGTATCCCAGGGACCAAAGGACCGGCATCCCCTCAGCTCCAGCTGTTCCCATGTCCTGGCTTTGTGTTCGAGGCGAGTGAAGGGCTTACTTTAAGCCCCATGTGGAGGGTGTATAGGAACAGAATCGGGAGCGACAGGACAGATATCCTGTTACCCTCCCGGACTGAGAAGCAGGTGAAGTACCTGCCTTCACCTTCCTGGGGGTGGCGGCCCAGTGTCCTCTGCTAAATCTAGAAGAGCTTTATTTATTTATTTGGTCTTTTTCATTTTTATTGGTACCAGGGATTGAATTCACGACCGTCTGCTTGCAAGGCAGGTGCTTATGCCACTGAGCTAAATCCCCAGCCCCTCCAGAGGAGTTTTATGCTTTCTGTGTTTTATTTTTTAAATGCAATTAACTGTTTGTTGCTTTCGTCTTTGTTTTTGTAATGGAGAAAGGGAGACTGAGGCTGTTGGATGCGGCTTTCCTGATGAAGCCCTTCCCACCTCCTCTTGAGGGCTCTGCTGTCTCAGTGCTGCTGGCCCAGGTCAGAGGGGGCCAGGGTCCTACTGGGCTGTAGCCTGGCTTGTCCTGGATCCCATAGATCCACATGTACCCCAGAGTGGGCAGGCACAGGTGGCCGGGGGGCTATCCAAGGACCTGTCTCATGAGGCCAGGACATACCTGCACCACGAGGCCGCTTAAGGGTACCCACCTTACAGATGGGCGACTGAGGCCCCATGTCACCCAGAGTCCCAAACTGATTGCTCAGAATCACCCCATGCTGAGCACAGCCTCCCCAGGGAGGAGCACAGGTTCCCCCAACTGCCCTCAGTACAGATGGGACAGCAAGTCCAAGGCTGTAGGTACCTGTGAGAGGCCCACAGCACACATGTGGTACCTGGCATCTCGCTCTGCTCTGGACCTGAAACTTAGCACAGTGGCGCTCTCTGAGGGGGCGGGCTGCCATCAGCCACAGAGGAACTCGGGGCGACAGCAGGCGCCAGCACAGGAGGTGCTGTCACACGGCGCCTGTACAGGGTGGTTTGAAGGCATTTGTGTCCTCCGGACTTCCATGTCACATTTGTGTCAGAGCATTCTAACAGGGACCATTCTTACCAGGAGAGCAGAGGCACACTCTGTGGGTTCCCCTGGTGTTCTGCCATCACAGACTGACCTTGTGTGTTGGCCACCTTGGAACAGCTGACTTGTTAGGTGGCGGCGAACATCACTGGATGAGGGCTCAGATCCTGCAGAGGTGGGAGGTTCCCTTAGGAGTGAACAGGGGTTGGAAGCAAGTCCCACGGGACGGCAAGGCCCCTGCAGAGCACTGGTGTCCCTGGCCAGTCCTGCTGCTCAGGGAAGAGACCTCCTTCCACCCAGGGTGACCGTGGATGTGCGTGCCAATTCCTGCCCAGCTCACCCCTGGGCAGCGGTGGCTTTCCAGTGGGGACCTACTGCTGTCTGACGTCCCTCTAGGAAACCTGGGCTCATGGCAGGGGAGGGGAGGATGGGGCACTGTGCGCTGCATGGCTCAGCTGGGGCACCAGCTCTGCCACTGCTTGGAAGTCAGCGCCTAGGGGACACAGATGAGTAGGAGGTTCGGGGGGGAACCCCAAGGCCACAAGTGCTCTGGCCCTGAGCTGCCCACTGGGTTCTTACTGCACGGAGCAAACCAGGAGCCAGGATTCCTCAGCCGGTCAGCTGACTGTATGCTGCCGCCGCCACTGTGCTCGGCCTGGCCCCGGGTCTGTGTGGAGGAGCATACGGGCCTCAGGCCCATTGCATCAGCCAGGAGGACAGGATTGTGCTACTGGAGCCATCTGATTTATGACCTGAGGGGCAAGTGTGGGGCAGCCCAGCGGGTGCAAAGGCGGCCGGGCGGTCAGAGCACAGCCAGCCTAGGTTGGCAGCTGAGTCCGGGACGGGGAGCCCAGCCTGCTGGGTCAGTAGGCAGCGGTCAGAACAGACTTCTTCACAGCAGACACAGTTTAAAATGCCGTCCTGTCTTTGCGACTGCTTTTTTCATGCGGTTGAGGTAAGAGTTTGACTTCTAAGACACAGTCCCATCACCACCACCGGTGACAAAGCTGGGCGAGGCTGTGTTGTGGATCCTAGCTTGGAGCTATCTAGTTCCAGGGTCTGACAGGGCAAGAGAGAGGCAGCGAGGGGAGCAGACTGAGCCCTTTCCGACCATGTTCTCCCGAAGCCACTTCGGTTGGCTGCCATGCTGGCACCTCTGAGTTCCTTTATCCCACTTTGTCCCGAGGCCCAGCCAGTAGAGGCGCCTATACATAGGAAGAGGAGTTCTGGCAGCTGGGCTTTCTGCTGCCGTGCTGGCTTCAAGTGCCACACATCCCCTGCCGAGACCAGCTGTGACCTCAGTGGACCCCGTGCTCCCTGAGATGGGATGGGGGGGTGCTTGGCTGTGCGGCCCATGCTCCCTCGAGGTGACTGTGGGGGTTTAAAGAAGGTTGTGGCGTCACCCTGTCTGCCTGCCCGCCTGTCCGATGTAGGGCAGGGAAGGACGGCCGGCTGGCCGGAGAGGAGTGCTGAGGGACCCTTTTCCTGGGGTTGCATAGAATGGTTTCCTGTGAGGTGGGGCACTGCTGCTTTTACCTTTTCTGTGGTATTTTGCCTCTGTTTTTATTTCTCAGGACTGCAGTATCACTCCTCCACACATCTCTCCTTTGTGTGTTGCAGGAAATTAAAATCTTTTCCGAAGATGGGTCAAGCAAAGTGGTGGAGATCCTAACCGACATGACGGCCAGGGACCTGTGCCAGCTGCTGGTTTATAGAAGTCACTCTGTGGATGACAACAGCTGGACAATTGTGGAGTACCACCCACAGCTGGGATTAGGTAGGGAGCTGCCCGAGGCTGTTAATGCTGCTGCTGCTGCTGCCAGGGGCACACGCTGTCCCCGACCGCTGGCAGGTGGTTTCCTTGCTGCCCTGATGCCTCCTGCCTCTTCTTTCTACTGAGTTTCACTCCTGCCTGGCCTCTCCTTGCTGGTGCCTCGGGAGTCCTGCCCTGTCCTACGGGCTCAGATTGTGAGGAGGTCCCGTGGTCCCGCTGCTCTTGGTTGTCAGTTGTCAGAGCCCAAGGTGCATCCGGCACCACTGTGGGCTGCAGTGGAGGGGCAGGCACCCCGGGCACCAGGGTGTGGCTCATCCTGAGGATGGGAGAAAGGAGCCCAGGTACCAAGGGCAAGAGGCAAGAGAGGGGGAGTCCCCGGGGACTGGAGCTAATAAGGGCAATTACTCCCGAGGTCAGTGCTCTGTGGCTGTCTCTGAACTGGTCACTGAAGCCTGGGTGGCATGCATATCACGCCCAGAGAGCAGGACAATACTTTACGTCACTGATTGTTCGAAAAGACATACTCCTGCTAGAGTGGAAGTGTGCTGCTGGTCTTGCTCAAAGGGTCTGTGTCTGGTACAGAAGCATCTCAGCTTTGCCAAACAAGGTTTAAAATCTTGCTGGATGAAGCTGGTGCTTGCAGAAGCGGAGTCATAGGTGGTGGCAAGTGCTGGAAACAACTACCCCAGCCCCACCCCTGCCCCTTACACCTTTAGAGTGAGTGGACAGACTTACTCGGGCTTCCTTTACGTATTCCTCAGTCACCAACCTGTTTGTGCATCAGCAGAGCCTTCTCCATTATCACTGACCGCCCTTCCCTGCTAGGCTCACTCACCTGTTTCACAGTAAGCGCCTGGGATGTCTGTTATCAAGGAGACAGACACATGGCAGCTTGGAACACCAGGGGCAGATCCTGAAGTGCTTCTGTGACACAGTTGTGTGAGCCTGCAGGGGTGTATCCGTGAGTGTGTGTGTGTGTGTGTGTGTGTGTGTAAATTGTCCGGAGAGACTGGTGTAAGAACGAGTCTGCAGAGTTGTACACAAGTAGCACAAACATGGGAAGCTGTTCAAAAGCGTGAATGCTCTTTCGGTCTGAGAGGAAGGATGCGTGGAGGGAGCTCACTGTCAGTGTGGGTCTGTGAGGCTGGATCCAAACACAGGAACTATTCTGGAACGGCCCTGCAGAAATCTAACATGCTGGCAGTGTAGAGGCATGCTTAGAATCCTAGCATAGCAAGAGGCTGAGGCTGGAGAGCCACAGGTTGAAGTTTAACCGGTGCAACTTGGCAAGCTCTTGGCTCAAAATAAAAAACTTCTTAAAATGGGCTGAGGACAGAGCTCACTGCAAAGACCCCAGATTTTTTTCTTGGTGCTAGAAATCGAACCCCGGGCTTTGCACTTGTTAGATGAACTCTCTGCCACAGAACTATGTCCCCAGGCAACTTCTGCAGTTACTTCATGTGTAAGTGTGCACACTTACTATGTGTAGAAAATGGGTACACATGCATACCAGGCATGTTTCAGAAAGTGACTCACAAGGGCTGATTCCAGCCCTTGCTTCCCACAGTATGGCCTAGTAAGTAACTATGGCGTTGCAGAGATGATGGTCACTCCTTGAGGTGGAAGTGCCTGTCCAGTCCAGGCCCACAGAGCTGGGTGGGGCAGAGGCTTCTGGGCATGTTCCTTCCCCACCCACAGGCGGGTTTGGCACACTGTAAAGGAGATGCTGCTTTTTTTAGAATTTAAAGGGGGAAAGTGGAGAAAGGAGAAAACAGACTCAAATTGGGTCTTTTTTTTTTTTTTTTTTCTTTTGGTACTGGGGATTGAACTTATGACCTTGTGCTTGCCAGGTAGGTGCTTATGCTACTGAGCTAAATCTCCAGCCCTTCTTGGGTCAATTTTGATAAGAAGGAATTAACAAGTATCAGGCGGCTGGAACCTGGAAGTAGCTGAAGGCCCCGAAACCAGTTCCATCCCGGCTGGGCTCCAGTGAGCCTATTGTCCCCTGGGCTGTGTTTCAGAGGGGGCCAGGACCTCTGTAGGGAACAGGCCCCAGGACGCTCCATCTGTGTACGAGAGTGTGTGTGCATGTGTATGAGTGTGATCCAAGCCACTAGATGACTGCTATTTGTAGCCGTGCTGCAAACAGGGAGGTCCTCTTCTGGGGTTCCTTAGTGTGTGTTCCACATCAGGGAAGCCATGGGCACCACGGATCTGCTACAGACAGGCCTGGCTGTCCCAGCCTCACCCTGCTGTGGGAGTGGGGGCCACTCTGGGGGGACCTGTCTCAGATGTGCCTGGGTCCTCTGGTGCCACATTGGGCTCCCTGAACCTTGCCGGGCAGAAGGTGGGGACTCTCAGGCAGGTACACATCAGGATTTCTCACGGAGACAGGGCTGGTGGCTCTGGCTGGAGGGCTGTGGTGCCTGCCCACCCTGCAGCAGGGGCAGCAGCACTCACTGTGTTTTGTTGTAAAGACTCACAGGAAAGAGGACTCCAGAGCTGCTTCGGAAAGTGTCGGGGACAAACGATGAGTGCATCTGAAGCAAGTGGGAGGGATTGGGGGGCTGTGCCCACTCCCCTTTTGCTGCAGTGCTTGCTGTGTGTCTGACCACACTGCACTGGTCCAGTGTGGACGCTGCATGGCGCAGCTGGTGCTGGCCCTCATGGGCCTGCGGGCAAGTCACGTGCCCCGGGCACTTAGGCTGCCAAGCACCGTGGAACCATTTGTGGGGTGAAAAGGGGACTGTGGAAGTCTGTACAGTCGAATTCAGGAACTGCTATATTTTAAGATCTCTGAGGCACTGGGTGGTATGGAAACCCAGCTTAGTTCCCAAGCTTGCCTTTGCCTGCCGCAGGCCAGGGAGTCAGGGCGGGTTCGTCACTGGTTAGAGAAGCTGCCTGGACACTGCCCTCCGTCCTCACCTCATATGTCACTTTTCCCCCGCAGAGCGGTGCTTGGAGGACCACGAGCTCGTGGTCCAGGTGGAGGGAACCATGCCGAGTGACAGCAAGTTCCTCTTCAGGAAGAATTATGGGAAATATGAGTTTTTCAGGAATCCGATGGTGAGTGTGCGCTCTCTGCACTTGGGCTTGGGGTTCTTGTGTTTGACAGTAAGAGAACTGGATCGTGACATAACTAACCAGGTGCACGGGGCGGCCGACCGGCCTGGGCTGCTGCTGGAGGAGGAAGGACCCTTACCTGAGCATCGCTGAGGCTACCTTAAAGGGGGCCGTCCTTCCTCAAGCAGCATCGACAGGGAGGGTGCTGGTCACTAAGTCACAGAATAGAGAAGGGCCAGGCTCCCAGGTTCTTTGGAACGCTCTTTTTAAAAACCTTTCATTACTCAGTGTGTGCTACACATATGACCACATTCCTTGCGTGGCGGTGGCGCAGGTGCTCCCATCTGGTGCTCACTCTCCTTCCTCCCACCTCCGACTCTAGATTCTTTCCCTATGCAAAAGACCTATCTCTCTGTTTCCTGTTCCCTGCCATTCATTTTGCTCTTTAATGTATTTATAATCTGGGTTTCTCATGTAAGAGAGAATCATGTGACAGTTAAGCTTGTGTGCCTGACTTATTTCCTCTAACGTTATGACCCCAAGGTGCATCCATCTTCCTATAGAGGACTCAAGTGTACCCTTTTTCGTAGCTGGGTAGTACTCCATGGTGTACAGATACCGCAATTTCTTTACACAGTCACCTGTTTTTATTTGAAAAGTTCTTAGTTAAATGAAACAAATTGGTCAAATAACGAGGAAACAAATACTCTTTATTCTCTGCAAATGCATCTCATGGCTCCATGTGGATGAATCTCACTGAGCAGGGTGCAGCTGCCACCTCCTTGGCTTTTCTTGCCTCCTGTGTAGCTGCTTGTCCTGTGACCCTCCTAAGTGCGGAGCACTTGCTTCTAGCCTGAGTCACGCAGCCAAGTGGCAGCAGCTTGGGAAAGAAGACCCTAAGTTAGCTGCTTCCTCCCTGACGAAGACACCTGATGGGTCCCTCCGGGTCGTGTGGCAGAATGGGCTTTCTACACAGCAGTGCTCACCTGGTGGCTCAGGAATTCTATCCCCTGCCACCAGATGAAGTCTCTGCTGCGCTCTCCACCACAGCCCTTGTTGGGAAGCATGAATTCCATAGAGAGGTCCCCAAAGCGCATCCAAAACATGACGCAGCTGGGCACGGGTGCTCCGGACGTGTCCCTGGCGTGGGAGAGAACCGAGAGGTCTGGCTTAAACGTGCACACCTGTGCCTGGCTTGGAACCGTTAACCCTTCAGCTGCCACGCCCCAGCCTTGCACACAGGGGTGCTAACTGTGCACGTTTCGGTTTTTCCCTTTCCATAGACCTTCTTCCCAGAACAGATGGTCACCTGGTGCCAGCAGTCCAATGGAAATCAGGCTCAGCTCTTACAGGTACTGTGCAAACACAGGCGCTTCCGCACAGCGGCCGCCAGGTGGAACCCTTGCAGCTGCGTGGCAGCTCCAGAGACCCAAAGAAGCCGCGCCTCCATTCCCCCTGGCGCCTCGCGGGTTTTGGGGTGTGCTTTGGACATCTGTGCGCAGCCAGGCCCCTCTGAGGCAGCACCTGGGCTCATTACAGCGACCACCCGAGTGGTGCCACCGCCTGTTGCATTGCCCCCGGGCGGGATGCAGCGCTGTGATCCTGCCCTGAGCCTGGCTCCTCCCACAGGCGCTGCCGCCGCTGGGGAACCGCTGCGAAAAAGCGGAGCCCTCTTCATAGAAAGGACTGTGTTTCTGCAGTCCTTTGAGCAGTAACTTAGTGCGCCTTCAAATTTAGGAAAGCAGCTTGAACTGTCTTGCTGCTGTCTGAAGTTTGGGAATACTGGTCTTTTCCACCTGTCTGCCAGGACAGGGACAGAGGACTGGGGTCAATGCTAACTCACTGAGTCCCTTCTAGGGGATAAGGAGGGGAAGAGGGAGTTTCACTGCCACCCCCACACTTGAGTCCCTGTGCAACTTAAGGAAGACAGGAAGCCACCCCTGACACACCAGAGGCCTGGCTGCCAAACTACATCACGTGAGAGAAAATCCGGAAACTCACTCCTGTAAATTTTGCCCAGACTCTTCCTTTCCCACGTAGTTGCCCCCCGCCTACTTTTTAACATCTAGTGCTAAGCGCATCAGGAGCTGCACTCTTGGGGTCTCTCAGACCCCACTCGCCCGCCCTACCCCCAGCACGGCATTCAGCTGTGCAGCCATCCTCAGTGAGCTGCCACCCACTTTATTCTCTCAGTGCTGGGGTTAAACCCAGAACCTTTGGACTGAGCTTTTTCCCAGCCCTTGTTGTGTGTACTCTGAGAGGAGATCTAAGTGCTATCAGCCACCTCAGCCTCCCTGACTGCTGGAAGAAAGGAATCCCCCCTCTAGACCCTCCTGACCATGTCCTTTGCATTGCATTGACTGTGAGGTGATTTCTGTGCATGTGAGGGCAGCCACTGACCCCTGGAGGCTCCCAGAGGCCAGCCCCTCTGCAGGGAGGGAGCTGTGTGCTCCCAGCCAGCAGAGGACACACCAAGGTCACTGCCCGGACTCCTTTGTGCCTGGTCCTTGGCTTCTCTTTCCTATATACACGTGGGGTTTTTTAAACCTTTATTCACACTGCTGCTTGATGGTAGTGTCACCAAGGTGCCCTTCCTGTAAGGACTGGTACGCTGGCCAGCCTCTGGGTCAGGTATGTGGGCAGTGAGCTGCTCAGCCACAGAGCTCTGCTCTGTCCACTGGCCCAACTCTCTCCACTCACGCTGGCCCAACATGAGATATTTCCCAGCAGTGTGAAATAAGGTGTGGAATCCACGCTGTCCTCTCACATAAGGAAAGGTGTGTTTTCACTGATGACAATGGGTGCCAGCCGCTTGCCTGTGTCTCGGGACTGTCCATGTCCCCAGCAAAGCGGTCTAAGTGGGGTCAACTTTGGAAAGTGAGGACGCGCTGACTGAGGCAGAGAGAAGAGAGGGTATTTTAATGAATTGGAAAATACCAGCTATGTGTGACACCATGTTTAATTGTTTTGTGCTTGATTTTTTTCATTTGCCCTTCCATAGAACTTCCTGAATTCCAATAGCTGCCCTGAAATCCAAGGCTTTATGCATGTGAAGGATCTGGGGAGAAAGTCGTGGAAGAAGCTCTATGTGTGCCTGCGGAGATCCGGCCTGTACTTCTCCACCAAAGGAACCTCCAAGGTGGGTTTCCTGCCCGCTCTTGAGGGCTTCCTGTGGGGCTGGTGTGGAGGAGTTGAGCACAGGCAGCAGCTGCTGGTCTCCCCCATGCAGACTGGGACCTTGGGCCGCGTCTCCCTCATCCACTACTGAGACAGACTTGGTTTTCGGATTTGAGAGTTGGGGGATCAGCGGGCTGTAAGGCTGTCAGCAGGGGTGTGGCTCCCCCAGGCCACTTATGTTGCTATAGAGACCCGCAGCAGAGCCCAGGGGGAGGGTAGGTACGAACTGGGGACGTTGAGGCCTCACCAGGTTCTTCATGGTGGCTCCCTGCCCTTGGTACAAACGCTTTTCTTGTGGCCACTACATGCGCGCTGGCAGAGCTTTTGCCTTTGAAGCCTCTGGGTTAGACGCCAGAGAGAAGGGGCGGCATCCCGAGAGGGGGCGGAGCAAGGAGCTTTCCGGCCTTCCCTCTCTGCTTTACGGCTTGGCTTCTTCGGCATCCCGTCCCAGCCGGAGCCAGGAACAGTTTGTGGCCCGAACAGGAAGCAGCCTTGGCTGCAGCGGTCGGGAAGGTGGCGTGTCTGAAAAGCACACCTAACACCACGACCCAGAGCACAGGTTTATCTTGGCTCAAGAGTTTAGTTCATGGTCAGGAACAGGAGGCAGAGGAGAGAGAAAGGCGCTCCACCCTGGGCAGCCAGAAAGGAAGAGAAGGGAGGAGCTGGGGACCCAGCCTCCGGTCACACCCAGCGACTGCCTCCAGCTGTGCGCACAGCCAGGAGCTCATCCATGGATGACCTACGGATGCGCCGCGGCGCGCCACAACCATCACCATCCGCGAGGGCGGCTACGTGTGGGCTGTGTCCCAGCTGCTGACTCCTAGGAACTGGGAGCCAGGGTTTGCGCGGGTGTAGGTCCGATTTAGCCCTGACCTCATACCTGGGGCCCAGCCTGGGAACTGGCAGGAGGAAGGTGGTTTGAAGACACCGTGGCGGCGGAGCCTTGCGCTCTACTGTGCTGGGGACACCCCTGCGCCAACACTGGCTTTGTTTCTGCAGGAACCTCGTCACCTGCAGCTGCTGGCTGACCTGGAGGACAGCACTGTCTTCTCGCTCATCACCGGGAAGAAGCAGTACAACGCGCCCACAGACCACGGGCTCTGCATCAAGGTACGCACACGCACCCAACGTGGACATGGGTTGGGGCGGCAGGGTCCCGCCTGGCCTCCTTGGCGCCGGGCAGCTGCTGTTCTTTGTTGTTTTTTATGTTCAGCCCCTGGGATTGAATGCTTTGCCCAGAGCTGCAACCCGGCCCTTTTTATATCGGATGTGGTCCCAGGGCCCCCCTAACCTGCCAGTGCTGGGGTGATGAGCACACACCCTCTACTCTTCCGTTTCATCTTTTAACAGAAGTGCAGTTCCACACCGGACTTACTCCGTTCCGGTAAAAACATGAGTATTTTCCAAAAGTCAGTCGTTGAGTGCCGTGGGGCCAGGTGCCTCATGGCCTGGGGACTGCGCTGTGGCCTCTGCATAGTAATAGTGGTGGGAAGGGAGGGCTGGTCAGGGTAGTGTGTGGCTGGCACCTTCTTTGTGGGTTTCTGGTCGCAAGCATAGTCACACAGGAGTGCCCACAGCACTGCCTGCCCTCAGTGTGTGTGGGCAAAAGCATACAAATATACACACATACATACATGTGTGTGTGCATGTGGCCAAAACAATAAACATGTGCTCCCACACAGTGGTACACACGTCCCATGCAGCATGTACCTGCACAAGTGCATGGGCAGGGCTGCACTCCTCACCCCTGGGAGGCTGTGGACGTGTGGGTGTCCGAGGTGGGGGCCAAAGTGGTGCCCTCCACAGCACCAATAGGGCCCGGTTCACATGGATGCCCAGGAGGTCCCCCTAACAGCCTGGCCCCAACTGCTTGGGGAAGACCCACCACCTCTCTGTGACTGCGGGAGCTGGGATGTGTCCACCTCTCACCCTACCCTGCTAGGGGCACCCTGGAGCCCTCTGAGGTGCCCCTCGCTGACCTCCCCAAGGTGACTTGGGGACCTTTTCTTCTGTCACTCCCAAAGCCGCCACCTTCCAGGAAACAGGCTTTTGCTGCTCCTTCCAGCCAGGGTGTCTCAAGCCTCAGCTGGGATAGCAGCCACCACCAGGCGTGTCACACACGGCTGAGAGCCCTGTGTGGTATATTCCCCGCCCCCGGGCTGTGCTAACTGGACTTCCTGACCTCCAGCCAAACAGGGTCAAGAACGAACCCAAGGAGCTGCGGCTGCTGTGTGCCGAGGATGAGCAGAGCCATGCATGCTGGCTGATGGCCTTCAGGCTCCTCAAGGTAGTGTGCGGGGTAGAGGTTAGGGTTAGGGCCGGGGCTGGCAGGGCCCTGTGGACATTGCCATAACTCTCCCCTGCTCCGTCACTCAGGGGACGCATCCCTCGCAGCAAGCGCTGGGGAGCGGCCAAAGGCCCTCGTGTTGGAAAGGCAGAGCCTGACCTCCAACCTCAGCGGCTCTTGGGGGAAGTGGCTTCACTGCGGGGGGCCTTGTAACACCCACAGATGCCTCCAGACACCGCTGCGTGTCCTGTGGGTGTGGGGAGCTGAGGTGCTGCCCCTGGCTGAGAAGCCTAGGGCACAGGAAACAGTAGCTGTATTACTGCTTCTCGTTGTTTGTGGCAGGAAGGTTAAACCCAGGGCCTTCATACTGAGCTACTTCTGCAGCCAATTTTACTTTTTATTTTGAGACAGGGTCTCAGTAAATTGCCCAGGCTGGGGCAGAGCATGCAATCATCCTTCCTCAGCCTCCCAACCACCATATTTGGGTCTCTCTGAATTTTGTTACCCGAGACAAGCTTCCTTATAAAGGGGTGATGTTCGCTGCCCAGGCTAGTGGTCCCCAGGTCCGAAACTGGCCTCCGTGCAGTGGTGCTTGCTGTCAGGCAATCACAGGTGACAGTGCCGGGGGCACATGTGGCTGGAGGAAGTTGCATTTCCAGACGGGAAGGCAGAAAGCCCAGGGCTGCCCTGTCCTGGAGGGCAGGCCCCAGTGACCACAGTCCTCCTGCAAGGTTGTGCCTGCTCACTTATGTCCCTCCTCTCCCAGGGGACCAGGTCCCAAGCACCAAGCTCAGGGACGGACCACAGTCACGCTAGAGAGCTTTAAGGGAGGTCCCAGACTTGTAACCCTGTGAAGACACAGCGGACGGGGGCTTTCCAGAGCAGCGTCCCCTGGCCGTGAGGCCGGGACAGTATTACCGTATGGGGCCCCACGGGGCAATGCCCAGACAGCTGTGTCATGGCCTTCTGCAGCACAGCTCCACACAGCGCCATGAGTGCACTGGGAAGGCTGGGGTCAGTAGGCAGCATGGGTCCCCTGGAGCCATGTGCTGGCTAAGATGGATGTGGCTGAGGGCCTGGGGTCCCTGGAGGAGACATTTTTTAGTCTCCTGAGGCGATGGACGCTGTGTTCTAGGGGTTACTTTACGGAAACTCCACTCCTTCAGTGAAGCCAGTTCGGGGGGAGGCAGGAGGTGATCGAGGTCCTCAGAGGGCCTGGGGCTGTCCTTCAGCCTTACATCACTGTTCTCTTTTGCTGGTGTCAGTCAGGATATCTGAGCTCCTAGCACGTTCCTGGCTTCTCAGCCAGTCTATGTCTGTCCCTAGTGGAGAGCAGGTCACATGACAGAATGGCAGGCGCTAGGGAATTCTCTGCAGCTGTTGGAAAAATGAGGTTGGCCTTTGTGCTGTGGGAGAACTGTGACCGGCTGAGAAGCAGGGAGGGGTATGCCGGGGGAGAGTGCGTCACCGTGGGAAGGATCAGAGTGTCTATCTCCACTGCAATGTGTGTGGAAACACTATGTGAGACTGCAGGGCGCAACCCTGTGCTCCTGGTGCTCTGGGAGCCGAGGGAGGAGGGTCACAAGTTCAGGTCCTGCCTGGGCAACTTAACAAGTGAGACCTTATCTGTAAACGTAAAAATAAAAAATTGACAAGAAACCAGCTCAGTCAGAAGATTCTGGCTGGATTCAATCCCCAGTGAGAAAGGAAAGGCGAGAACAAAGAAAAGAAAGAGCGAGTGGAAAGAAGGGTGAGTTCTACAAGAAATAAGACAACTTAGGGAAGGATAAAGATAGGGCAGAGAGAAAGTTTTACATTTGTGCAGATAGCTCATTTTTTAAAGCTGCCGATGAATAATTCATTTTCTAAAAGCAAGGAGAGTGACACTGCACCCTGTTAAGCTGTACTTTCTGTTGCGTTGGGTGACACGCGGTCCACTCAGCGCGTTCTTCACTTCGTGAGCAGCACAGCAGCCAGGTCCCCTCTCGGCCCTGCTATCCTGTGCCGGAACTAGTCACAGGACAGGAAGTGGGCGGCCTGTACGTCACTGTGGAGCACGCTGGCTTGCATGCTGTGCTGATGGTGGCCTGAACCCAGTGACCCCTGCTCAGTGCTAGTGCTGGGGGCGCTCCTGCTCTGCACACTTGTCACCTATCGCCTCCCGTGGCAGCTCCGCGCTGTGCACCGTGTCACCGTCCGATTCACAGATGGCAGCACTGAGACCCAGGCGCAGCTGCCAGACTGTGGCAGCAGCCGGGGAGTTGAGAGCCACTTCTGCTGTAGTTGCTGTGCCCTGGACACTTCGCAGGGAACACTGTGACCCAGTGATCCACAGATGCCAACAGCAGCAGGATACGTCTTCGCGGAGGCCAGGCCAGGCCCGAACGTGGCGTTGGTGCAGTGGGACCCGGACAGGCAGGAGCTTCTCGCTGGCGTAACTGGTTTTCTTCTGCAGCCTCAGCCGCTCCATCGCCTCTGGGTCTCGTCATCTGTGGGAAGATGTCGGCCGCCCGTCCCCAGCTGCCTCTGTGAAGATAACAGAACTTCTTCTGTGGTTGCTCTTGATGTCCCTCTGTCCTGTTGCTTGAGTCTTCCCATGGTGTGCTGCCTTTGATCTGTCATCCTCCTCCTGCAACTGGAGCCTGATGTCTTTTTAAGTGGCCATGCCCTGTAAACATTTCTCCTCCCCTCCTCCTCCCTGGGGAGCAGCATTGCCCTTTCACCTCATTCCGCAAGCTTTTATTTTAGACGTGGTATGTGGCTGTGAGGCCTCTAGCCAGAGCAGAGCTTATGTCCCCTGGAGCAAGGTCAAGGGAAGATGCACCCCACCTCGTAACTGTGTTTCCTCTTCAGGAACTTTTAAAATTTCATTTCTGAGCACCTGGTTTGTGGTGGGACTTGGGGAGGGTCGGCCGAGACGAGTGACACACCAGCTGCCAAGCTGGCAGAGCAGTAGGCCTGGTGCCTGCAGGATTTCTTCGTTTCTCGCCCGTTGCTATAACAAAATTGGTGGCACCTGCGGCTGAAACTGGAGGTTTAGTTTGAGCCAGGGGGCTCAAAGCCAGGAATTGTACAGCAGAAGGTGTGGGAATGGGGTGCTCAACCTGTGGCAGCCAAGGCAGAGAGAGAAGGGGACCTGGGGACAAGAACACACCCACCCTTCCAGCTCACAGCCCATGCCCACCTCCAGCTAGGCCCCGCCTTCCAGCAGCACAGCTGGCCCTGACCTCTCCTGTGACACAGTCACCTTCCACACACGAGGCTCTGGGGGACACTTTAGGTCTAAATCATAGTGGGGACACTCTGTGGGAACAGGTGCACATGTTGGAGGCCCAGTCTTTCCTTTCCGGTATCCCCGGGATCCTTGCTTTACTCTGTGCTTTCCGTCTGCTCTCTGTAAAATGGGGACAATCCTAGGACGCAGCTCCTTGGTGGGCGAGGATTAGGTGGGTGTCATAACCACTGAGGGCCTGTAGCGGTGCTCACTGCAGGGAGCTCTTCCTGGCCTGATGATTTCTTTCCTGCCTTTCCAAAGAAGTGAGCAGAACGTGGACAAGTGCACTGTCCTGAACCTGCCTCGGTTCATGGCGGCTGCTGCCCACGCTGTTCCCTGTCCTGTGCCAGCCTTGGCACCTGCCGTGTCCCTTGCTTGCTGTGCTGATTGCCTTTCCCCCCACAGTACGGAGTGCTCCTGTACCAGAACTATTGTGTCCCTGTGGAGAGAAAAGCGCTGTCTCCCTTCTCTACACCGGTGGTAAGTAGGGCCGGGTGCCTTCCCGCTGCTGTGGCACTGTGTTCCGTCTCACATGTGGTGGCCAAGAGGGGCTTGGGAAAAGGGGTACACAGTCCGGGGAAGCCAGCTGGACTGGGGGCTCCCAGCTCCCAGACACGTAGGCTGCGTGCTGACCGAGGACATGCAGGGGGACCTCTCCAGTGGTGTCTCCCAGCCCACGTACATAGTTACTGAGAGACGTGGCTCCTCACATGCTCAGAAATGTCCAGCACAGCTCTGCCTTCCACCTTTCCTGCCTCTGGCTTTGGTCCTTAGGCCAGGGGCCCTCAAGGGCTGGCCACTGTGGGGCCTCAGTGTGTCCCTGGTATTCGATGCTACAGGCAGGGTCCCACCTTGGAGACGGGAGCTTGCACAGCTGAGGGCATGATGTATAGGGGACAGTGAGGCTTCCTGCTGTCCCCGTGTCCCAGACAGGCTTAGTAGCCAGGGAAGGAGCACACAGCCAAATCTACTGGCACCAAAGGGTCCCGCAAGCCACCTTTGAACACCATGATAAGACGGGAAGAATTCCTGCTTTTTCCTCATAAAACCCGAAACCATTTTGAGCACAGTGGCCCTCTCACCACTGAATTTTCAAGCTGAACCAGTAACTTTGAAACCTGAATCTTAGCAAACGGGATGGGGGGGTCCCCCCAAGTCGCCTGTGTGCTGCACGGCTGACTCTTGTACCTCAAGAACTTGTGGCCTTTCCTTTCTAGCGCAGTGTCTCTGAGAACTCCCTGGTGGCAATGGATTTTTCTGGGCAGACAGGAAGAGTGATCGATAACCCAGCTGAAGCCCAGAGTGCTGCCCTGGAAGAGGGCCATGCCTGGCGGGTAAGACTGTAGCCCAGCACTGCTTGGACAGGCCGCATGGCAGGTGCTAGGCCAGCTTGGTCTCCTCCCAGAACAGCTGTGGGGAGGGTCAGAATAGGGGCTGCTGCAGCAGCTGGCCTGTGGATCTCTCCATGTCGGCACCAGGCGTCCATTGCTGGCCCTGCAGATGGGCAAGAGGGGAGCAGGGCCCTCTCTGCTCTGGCTCAGGGGCAGAGATGCCCTCGCTGATGACCTGTCCATGGCTGTCCACAGCAGGCACAGGGCCGGCGCCTCCAGATGGAGGATCCTATCTTGCACATCTTCCCGAGACCCGGGCTCTGGCTGGGAAAGCTCTCCCTGACCCATGGCCTTCCAGTGTGAGAGGAGTGAGCCTCTGCCTCTCCACCGGGTGGCTGCAGACGCACAGGCGCCCTGAGCTGTCTTTAGCCACCACGAGCCCAGCGCTTCACTCTGAGTGTTCTGACATGGGTCTTTCTTTTGCAGAAGAGAAGCACTCGGATGAATGTTCTGGGAAGCCAAAGTCCTCTTCATCTTTCCAGCCTGAACACAGGTAAACATGCCAGCTGCCTGACCTTGCTGGACATAGAGACAGGGAAACCTTCCTGCCCTCCCTGAGCTTCACAGTGCTGCCCAGGCTGGGGGACCGAGGCCCGGGGCAAGGAAGCCAGGTGGTGCAGCACCATCCCCCTTCCTCTCTGCAGTGATTCACAAGACCCAGCACTGGTTCCATGGCAAGATCACCAGAGAGGAATCACACAGGCTGATCAAGCAGCAGGGTCTCGTGGACGGGTAAGGACCCCCCGTTGGCACTGTGCAGGTGCAGTTGCCTCATCCCTCCGATGTCCTCCTGGGCCAGGAAGTGGTTTTAGCCTCATTAGAGAGGAATCCTAGGCTTAGAAGTTCAGTGCTGTGCCCAGTCTGGCTCTCGGACGAGCACGTGAGGTCAGGCTGCCCCCCAGGTCACTTCACGGCTGCAAAGTTGCTTCACACACCATCAGCTGAGACTTCACCAGTACTTACTGCTCAGGGTCTACCTGGTGGCTTAAAATGGTCCTTTTCCTCATGCAGTGCCCTCATTGTTATTAGCTGGGTCACTTTTCAGATACTCAGTGTCCTGGACAGAGTAATTAAGTACTTCCTGTCCCCTTTGCTGGTCAGTTTGCAGAGGCATAAGCTGCTGCTGCTTGGCCGTCTCTGCTGGGGTGTGTGTGTGTTAGGAGTCACTATGGTTTAGACCTTCATGCATTTAGTTTATTTCAGCAAAAATTTCTTCAAGCTCAGTTTGCCCCACACTGGCTACTGGACCCCCATCCAACACTCCCAGGGTTTAATTTCAGGTGAGATGAGAGGAGTGGGACTCATTGACACAGTCCTTGTGGAAGCCCTAATCCTTCCCAGTGGAGAGGTTTTCCAGGGGCTACAGGCTTCAGGTCAGAGCTGTGGCCCAGGGTCTCACAGCCTAGGAAAGGCCCTGCCACCCAGCTGTCCTCCATCCAGCCCTGGGCTTTGTAAAAAGCACAGAGTTAATTGTGGATTCCTACTGAGACTACCAGTTCAATATTTCTCTAATTTTGTTGAGTTTCTCCCATGTCTGTGTGTGTGACTGCAGACTGAAGCCAGGCCCTTTGCATTGACCTTTACACACGTGTGTGCGCATTCATACACACACACACCCTTTTCAATTCTGAGACAAGGTCTAAGTTCCCCAGGCTGGGTCAAATTTGTGATCCTGCTGCCTCAGCCTTCCAGAGTGGTGGGATTACTGTTTCTCTTTTACTCTGAAGATCTTGGTGGGCATTACCTTATTTAATAGACAGATGGACGGATCATCTTGAAAATACTAATTCAGGAAGTAACTTAGTACGAGTTCTCCGCTGAGGTTCTTGGCAGGCTTCCACCCGCTGCAGGACATTCTGGACAGGTTACATTACAGCAGCGTTCTTCAAGTTACTGACGTTGCTCTTGCTTGTGGCTCTGCCACCAAACTTGGTCAGATCTGTTGGTCCAGCTCATGTCCGATGTCTTGAGGAATTCTGAATTATTTTTGATTGGTACTTTTAAAATTAGGTAAAACATTCACCTGGCTTTAAAGTCAGAACTATAAAATAAGACATATGGCCTATCAACTCTACCCCAACACATTAGGTAATCGTTTTATTAGTGTGTCTCTTCCTCTCATTTCTTTTTAAAATTATAAACACAAGGAGTTTCTTTCCCTAAATGGGTTAGTGAAGGTAAAGTATGGGGTCACACGTTTCGCCCTGTCCCAAGGACTGCCCCTCGCGGTGTATGACAAGCTTCCACGTTCCCTTCCCTCCTTCAACTTCTCTTTTATGGGAGTAGAACTTGTCCTTTAAGTTATGCCAAGCAGGCTCCATGGTTTCATGTTTTTGTGCTGTCTCTCTGAGGAGCAGTCCTTCAAGTGGGATTACTGGGGGGTAAATGCTCATCTAATGCCATGAAATAGTCCCTGGCTCCCCTCTGCATGGTTTGTGTCCTGGTCACCCCACAGTGGTCTGCAACAGTTTTCCCATAGCTGCTTCCATCCCACAGCGAGGCTGTCGCATGTGTTCTTTGTCTGGAAGAACCCAGACCGTCCTGTGTGCGCGAGGTGCTCAGATTTTTCTTGTTGCGGTTCTTAGCAGTTTTTAGGCACCGCAGATGCTTTTGTGCTTCCTGCTCCTCAGTCATGCAGTTGATTCATGTTACCTTGTAGCACGTGGAGTCCTTGCTTCTTTCCTCTTCTCTCTTCTGTCCTTGCTTCTTTCCCTCCTGATTCTTTATTCTGTGTGTCATCCTGAGATACATCAGAGCGTACTTCCCCCATCTGCTGGGTGAAGAATGGGTCTTACTTGTTTCCCCTGTGGCTATAAAATTGTTACAGATTTGCTGGCCTGCACTGTCACTGGTATCATGGTGCTGTCTCTTTCAAACCATCCCAGAAGACTCCTCCCCAAGCTGTGGAGAAAGATCATTCTCTCTGAGGTTCCTGTCTTGTCAAAGGAGAGAACAGACAAACTCTTGAGATTTGGTTCTGTGACATTTTTAAACTTAGGGATGTGTTTTCCTAGACCTGTTCACAGTGTGAACCCCATCAGAAGTGGGCCTAGAGTGATCTGTGGGGGTCACTGTGGACCCCCATCTCTGTGGAACTCCTTAGGAAGGCATGCTGGTCCCTCGTAGGTGACATCACAGAGCTGTGGCCTCCAAGTGCCCTGACCTGGGCAGTGACGGACGCCTGTGTTCGAGGCACAGGCTATGGGAGCTCAGGGAGGAGGGCCAGATTCACGTGCTAAAGAAGCTTCTGGGGATTCTGCTGGAGACAAAGCCATCCTGCATGCTGGAAAACTCTGCCAGGGGACCCTGTCGGCCCCTTTCCCAGCCATCCTGTCTTCCAGCTCACCCTGGTAGAGTCCCAGCCAGCAAGGCTCCATCCTTCTACCTGTGCAGACCTAGGCTCCTCTTCTCCGTGACCCGCCATCCCCTGAGTCAGCCTTTCCGGTGGCATGTGTCTCCATCATAAGCGGGCTTTCCTCTATCTTCCCTGGCTTCTGTGTGGTCCCACAGGTTGTCACCTCCGGCTGCTGGAAGCAATGCAGGCTGTGATGAGTGGTAGTGCACACTTACAGTCCCAGCACTGGGGCAGCTGAAGCAGGAAGATCTCCACAACCTCCAAACTATCTTATCTTGGTCTACTGAGTGAGTTTAGGGCCAGCCTAAACTACATGTAGGAAGCCACTTACACAGCTGATCGGGCTCTCGTGTAGTCCTGGCCTAGTGGTCCTACCAGGTGGACAGGCGCAGGCCCAGTCCGTACAGTCAGAGCCCTGGGCAGCGCTGGGACTTACCCACCATCACCTGTCACCAGGCAGGGTCCTAGAAGCTTCCTAACCCTACGCGTCTCATAGAATTAAGTCGCAGGTTTGCTGACTCGAATGAGAGAAAGAAGGGGACTTACTAGGCAGAAATTTAACATATACCTTCAAAGAGATGGGTCAGGGTTGAAAGATGGAAAAGACAGACTGAGACAGACCTAGAGTGGAGGAGTTCTCCTCAAGATGGGTACCCTGGGATTTGTGTTCTTGGGGTCACATTAGCCAGAAGCTGGGCCACAACACAAGCCACTGACATGTGTGAGAAGCCCGTTAACAGTGCCGCTTTGAAGGCAGAGATCTGTGAGACGAAGCGTAATGTGCAGGGGAAAACACCACCCAGAGCCCAGTTTACAGGCTTATCATGTCCTTATGACTCTTACAAATAATTTTCTGTACATTCCCTGGGTAGGAAAAAGGCTTAAGTGACTTCTATGTTCTTCAGCTGTAGCTTGTCTTGAAAGTACGTGTTTAAGACTTCACTTTATCATGTCACCTTTCTTACCCATTTTTATTTCTTCTGTCCTACTGTGACTGCCAGATAGACCCAGCAGATGGGTTCCAGGCTCTTGTGTATACCAGCAAGGAATTGCCTGCATACATGCAGGGGTGACAGAGAACCGACCATGTGTATTGAAGATAAAGGAAAAGGTGCTTGGGGCAGATCTTGGCCAGAAAAATTAAATGGTGCCCAGATGGCAGGAAAAGCAAACAGGGAAGTGGCTCCCTGTGTTAGAAATCAGAGGTGCCAAGTTCTTGTGTCTTGACAACTGAGAAATGGGTTCAAGGTCCAGGGGCATTAAGAGCAGGAGAGTGTGACAGAAACCGTTGAGAGACTGACGGTGGAGGAGAAAGCGGTTGCTGCTGAGACTGGATTTTTATGCATAAAAATAAAAACGAGTGCATCTCAGGCCACCCTGGGCCATCCGAGGCCAGCATGTAGGTGACAAGTAGAGTCCCTTAACTCACAGATCCAGCGGGAAGTGCAATACTAGTGAGGGTGTAGGAGACAACTTCAGCTTATCTGTCACTTCTGGCTTAGAGATCAGAGAGGCTTCTCACTGAGGGATGGGAGCCTGGGTCAGGGTGTTCTGGCCCCCATGCAGGCATCTGTCGCTTATCTGGGTTCACTGATAACAGTGCAATCTCACGATGGCATCTCTCTAGGGAGGCTTATGGGCCTGGGTCTCTCGGTTTGTCTCCAGCTACAGTGCTGATGCGTCTCATTCTTTGAGGGTCTGGTCCCGCTCAGACTGCCTGTTCACTTTGATCTAACTTCACTGTCTGTAATAAAAGCACACAGCTAAATGCAGGCTTCCAGATTTCCAGGGCTCCTCTCCTGGGTCCTGGGAAGATTGACGGGAGTGATTAACAGATTGCTGAGTCATCCTGAGTCTCAGCCTTTCCGAAGTGTGTGTGTCCCAGGGTCACACTAATTAAATGACAGCGGCTGAGGCAGGATTGGCTTGGGAGATGTTGCCCAAACCCAGATGCGTGGCTGCTCCCTCTGCCTCTGGTGTCCTAAAACTGGAAGGCAAAAGATGGGGTCTGGAGCCTGGGGCAGGACCCGGGCTGTGTTCCTGTGTGCACCTTGATTCTCTCTACAAAAGGAAAGAGCGGGGAGTTGAGTTACAGAGAGGGGGACAGTCATTCTCCCCTCTGGTTAGACAGAGGCCTGCAAAATCCTATTCTTCTGTGAGAACCCTGTTTTTCTGGGGATGATGGAACGCTGGGATATGACAGAGGTGGACAGAAGAGGCTGGTTGTGCACCACCGCTGCCACGGTTTTGGGGGGTCGTGCTCTTCCCAGAGGGCTTTTCCAGGCTTTTGTTGTCCTGGATAAAGAGTCAGATACAAAATAAGACTTTCCATTTATTAAAGAAATTAAAGTTGGGAAGAAGCGCACTCTGCAGTGTGTGTGTAGAGCCATTAAAGGTGGAGGACAGGGTGCAAAAGCTCACAGTGGCCACAAGGTCTGTGCTTGCCATCTTTTATACCCTCATTCTGGTGTCAGATTCTGTCAAAATTCTGCTTGCTGGTATTCCAGAAGACTCAATGGCCAAGTGAGGTACACATGTGTCCGTGATTGAGTTATGTGGCTGGGATTTTTCTCCTTTGCTCCTTTATGTGCTCTTCTTCTGGCACTGTGTGGATACCTCAGGTCCTGCTGTACTTCCTCTGTGATCCATTTTGATTCCCTAATTGAACCCAGCTGCTTCGAGGGCCACACTGCCCACTTCCCAGAGGCTTCTGGACCCAGCATCCCAGCCTCCCTGTGTGACTTCCTGTTTTATCCCTCAGTCAGCCATAACCTAGGGTCCCTAGTTCCCTCTGGTGGGGAGAGACACCTCAGACTGATGGCATGGGTGCGTCTGCTGTTGCCATTGAAGTCACGCAGATGCTGCAGCACCAGAGCATGAGGCGTGGTCGGACACCCAGGCGGATGCTTAAAATTCTTTAATTTATCACAGTAAGAGTCACATTGCTGTGAGTCCCCCTCAGAATCCCCCACCCTGCTTCCAACACAATTCCTGTCTCTGCTGCTTTTCCAGAGCAGCTCTGGAGCCCTCTTTCCTGAGGGTCTTCAGCTGCACTACCGTGTCCTGAATCGATTCAAAACACTGGCCTTCCACGGTCACTTAGGCTTTGAGAAGGAGCCAGGGTCACTCATTGCGATCTGGTCATAGGTAGATGAGGACGTGTCCTGTCGCGTGAGCTACCCTCTGTTGGATGGCACTGGGGGGTGGCATTCAACATATTTCTGATCATACCTCATGAGACACTCAGGAACCAGGACTCCAGAGCTGCTGCAGAAAGTGGCCGGGATGCAGGGCTGTGTTCAGAGCACGGGGAGGGCTTCGAGGGGGTCAGTGCATTTTGGTTGCCCTATGTCCTGACGTGTCAGGCAGGGTTAGGAAGCATGTGTGTCACTACACCTGTGCTGTAAGAAGTGTTAACGCCCCATTGCTGGTTTTCTGTCCCCAGGCTCTTTCTCCTCCGTGACAGTCAGAGTAATCCAAAGGCCTTTGTCCTCACACTGTGTCATCACCAGAAGATTAAAAATTTCCAGATCTTACCTGTGAGTACCACAGCCCCAGCACCCCCACCTCGGTTTCAATGCGGTTTCTGCAAGTGACCCCATGGGCAGTGTGAGCTTATAGATAAACAGATGTTTTCAGGAGCTCAAAGAGTTGTTCTTTGAACTGAGGGTCAGCATCTCCGTGGAAATGCTGCTGAGTGTGGCGATGCCGTGCCAAAGGCTTCTGGGCCTGGGCTCTGAGCCCATAATTCAACTCTTGGGGGTGACAGGGATGTCCTCCACTCAGGAGGACCCAGGTTGAGGGGATCGGGAGGACATAAAGAGTGACAGCCACTCCCAAGCATCCAGAACACAGTGCAGACTCACCCGTGGGCCCCGGTGAGAAGTGGTGTCCTCCTGCCCGGTTAGATCAGAGACCATACTTTCACTGCAGTTACTGTTGCACTCTGGATTCGATTTCCAGTGCCAATAAAATGAGTGTAGCTCCATCTGGGAGACAGTGTGGAGTTCCTATTCTAACAAACACAGCCACCACACAGTCCTAAGAAAGCTGGGAACAGGTTCCCCTCACCCCCACCCCAGGACATGTCAGCCCCTCCTGGAGCAGACCAAGGTCTGGAGCCCGGGGGAGACTGTGCACCTCCCTGCCCAGGCCCTGGGACTGGGGCGCCCTCCCTTCCCTAGGGGTCAAGCTCTAACCAGGCGTGTGTCCCCTGTGCCTCCACAGTTCGAGGATGACGGGCAGATCTTCTTCACCCTGGACGACGGGAACACCAGGTTCTCCGACCTGATCCAGCTGGTCGACTTCTACCAGCTCAACAAGGGTGTGCTGCCTTGCAAACTGAAGCATCACTGCATCCGCGTGGCCTTATGACCTCAGAAGCCTGCCCGGCGACACCGCAGCAAGCCAACACTGGATGGAGGAGCGGAGGACCCCCCCACCCCACACCCTGGGACTTGCGCGGCGACACAAGTTCATGCAGTGCCAAGACCAAGAGCGACTAGTTTGATGGGCTTCACGGCGACTTGCTGGCTGCGGACCCCGACGCCCCGCTGCGTCGGGAAAGGCTCAAGGGGTCCCGCGCAAGCCCGGAAGAAACTGGAATGAGCAACTTGGCTGGGCCCCTTCGGAAGCCACAGAGCGGAGGAAGCGGAAGCGAACTCTTGCCCTGGGATAATCTTGACAATTCAATCTGCTATGTTTACTTTTTTGTATCAATCACTTTTGCACTCCTCCTCGTATTGTCGGTATTGTACTCAGCCTCTGGTGGAGGGGATGTGGCTTTTCAACGCGTGTGAGACAGCAGGCATTTCCATTTAGCAAGCTTCAGGCTGAACAGGGTCCCCGAGGTCCCGGGGGTGGCCCCCACCCCTGCGGGTTGTAACCGTGTGGATTCGGCTCCCCCACTGCAGACCATCCTTGCCCTTCCCAATATACTTGAAAAGCTTTTTTTTAATAAAAGGTGTCAGCCGCGGTCAGCCCTCGGCCTTTTGTGTGGACGCAGTCTCGCTGCCGGTCTTGGTCCTTGTGTCATGAGGTGTGTCATTCTCTGTGGTGCTGGAGAATTAGCACATCGGGAAACGCGTGGTCCCCACATGGCCCAGTCCCATCCCTGTGGCCCCTACCCCTCATCGTTTCTCAAGGTCTCCTGGGGAACTTGAGGATCTGAGAAGAAGCTGGCACCTGGTTGGCTAGGTGCTGCAGCCTGTGGGTTGCCATGGAACAGGCTGGGGCACAGGCCTCTGCTTGGCGGCCCCTGCGTGGTGGCCCAGGTCCTCTGCAGGCTTCGGCTCATGGGTGCCAGGCAGGGGCTGAGAACTCTAGGGCTCCTGTGTCATGTCCCTCAAGCTGAGTCACCAGGTATGAGGGCAAGGGACAGGACCCCTGCACGAGCAGAGGACCACTGTGCCCGGCAAATCTCAGTCCTTCCCCATGGCTGTGCCTGACTGGTGCTTGTGACAGCCAGCACTGGATCACCCAGCCCAGCCCTGCCCCTGACCCGCTCCCCACTCCGCTTCCCTGCCCTCCTGGTAACAGTGATGGTGCTGTGCGTAGTTCAGGACCCGTGACAGACTCCCGCCAGTGAATCTCTGGCGTAGTAACACTGTACCTTAGTTTACAGCCCATACTCCAGTTGTGTCTGTGAAACGTCTCTGTATACAAGTGAAGAATTCTTTTTGCGAAGCGTGCTTTTGCCCATCTGTGCTCCATGGCGTCTCCTTCCTGCCGTGGCCCGGTGATCATCGCCGCTGCTGCTGACCCTGAGCTGGTCCTCGAGTCCGTGCCTGGCAGCCTGCATCCCTCCACCAGTCTGGGTGCTGGGGGCGGGGGTGGCAGTGCTGCCTTTCCACCCTATGTCACTGGATGGAGGTAAAATCTTTAAAAACACACAAACAAAAAGTAACCCGAGGGGCTTGTTCTGTTTACGTAGCCCAGTTCCCCCAGCACACTGCTGCATAGACGGCTGGGATCACAGTGCTTGTGTCTCTGAGTGTGCGTTTCAGGGTAGCTTGGTTGGGATTCACAGGTTTGTGTGTCGCTGGTTGATGTAGTCTCTCAGACCCCAGCCAAAGTAAAGTCCTGCACCCCTTCTCGCCGGCCTGCTTGCAGGGTGGCTGGGAATTCCATGCCACAATGGCTTGTCCCTTGGGCTGTGGGCATGTGTCCAGCCCCCTGGCAGGGACAGCGGACATCAGACTTTTATTTTTATACCTAATTGACCTGAATGTAAAGGGGACAGCTCAGGGTTGTTTGGGAGCCTGTTGACTTTGGGATCTCTGCCTGTGCTTTTTCTGAAGGGGAACTCCGTGTAGCAACCGGGACGGAGTAGAGAAGGACATCACCCAGGGCTCTGGGTGTTGGCGGCTGTGGGGCAGCCCCGTCAGTAGGTGTTAGAATTCCAGACAAGCTCTGTCTGCTAAACCTTGAAGAACCATGTGCCTCAGCTTAGCTGTTTTGTCTCCTCTCTGCACTTCACGCCTGACCTCGACCGTCCGCTGCACCCATGGGGGTGGGCAAGTTCACTGTAGATTTGTGATGTCCTAGTGAGAGCCACAGTGGCTGACGTGTCCGAGTTTTCAGGGGGTGCAGATGGCGTGGATTCTGAGACAAAACCTAGACTCCGTGTGCTTTGCCTCATTCTGTACATAGCTCTTTGGCTCGTGGAACCTAATTGTACACTTTCAGGTATTTTTGTACAAATAAGGGACTGATGTTCTGTTTCTTGTAACCAGAAATAAACATGATTACGGTGTTCTTCATTTTCTACTGCTTGGCCCGTCTGTGTCTGTATTTAGAAACATCCTCACCAGCTCAGCCACATTAAAAACACCGCTTGGCGCCGGGCGTGGTGGCGCACGCCTGTCATCCCAGCACTTGGGAGGCTGAGGCAGGAGGATCACTGCAAAGTGGAGGCCAGCGTGGGCTACAAAGTGAGTTCAAGGCCAGCCCAAAATGCAGAGTGAGACCCTGTCTGGGAAAAAAAAAAAAAAAAAACAAAACATGCGCGCACAAAAAAAGCAAAACCCACAACAGCACATCTCCTGAACACCAGCAAGCTGGCTTGGTGGCCCAGCAACTGAGGGGCAGGAGTGCAGCCCACAAGGGCCCTTTCAGCTGGCCCGTCCGATCCCCTCCGCTCCCACAAGAGTGAGCCCAGGCCTTTCTAGGTTTCTGAGTCACTCACCCACCGTGGTTCGGGTGTAGGAAACGACACTGCTGCCTGATAAAACCAGTGACATTTCCCCCCTGAAATGGCACATTGGAAGTATAAAGAACCTGAATTTTCTGGTCAGATGAGAAACGAACTGGGGATGATGGTACACACATGTGATCCCAGCACTCGGGAAGGCTGAGCAGGAGGAACACAAGTCCAAACCCAGCTGGGGCAAGTTAACTAGTGAGACCATGTCTCAAAAACCAAGGAAGGGGTTGGGGTAGCTCAGGGTGAAGGCCCTGGGCTTGGCCCCCAGTGCCACCACCCAAAATCAAATCCATGATGGTGAGGGTGGGCGCCCCTGTCGTCCATACCTGGGGGACCTCATGCACCCACCTGCTCCCTGCCCACCCCTCAGCCAGAGAGCCAGAGTGCGTCCCCACACACCAGCTGTGACACTAGACACCTGTGTTTGGGCACTCCTGTCATGTGTTTTTAAAATCTGAGTCCTTGAGTTCTTACAGCTGCCCCTAAAAAGACAGCCGGACTTTGTGGCAAAACAAGGGTGTATCACAGTCCCCTGTGCTGGGCAGCCTCTCTGGAGCCAGCAGAGCCAGAGCAAGAGGTACCTGGGCCACTCTCCAGGGTGCACCGACTGTCCCTCCCATGCAGGGCAACTCTGCAAAGCGGACCCTCAGAGCACGGTGGGAGCCCGGCCTATAGCCTCAATCCCAGGCAGGACCTGGGTCTTAAGTGATAACTGCTAAGTGTAAGGTCGGGCACAGCATCCCGTTCTCGATGGAAGAGCAGACTTGTTTTGGAGGTCAGGCGGTGTTCACAGCTGGACAGGAAACAAGGAAAACCCTGCTCTTGCCAGGCCACACTCCACATCCTGCCTCCAACCAGCATGTAGGGGATGGCGCTGCTCCCCAGGCCGGAGACCCAGCAGAGGGGGACACGGGACAGGAGGATGGGGTGACGGCAGAAAGCCAGCCTGACACAGGCCATGTCAAGTGCACAGGCTTGCCCCTCTGGGTCCCACTGTCACACGCTGTCCTGGGGGCCCCTGAACCAGCAGCTGCCTCACTGACAGCAGAACAGTTTTTGTTTGTTCTCTTGTGACTCAGCCATGTGGCATTTTGGGTGACAGAAGGTTTGTCATTTGCAATCAATGTTATGGTTGGTTCTCTTCAACACGGAAAACCCTAGTGTGCTAGCAGGTGGTCCTGTGTCCCCACGTTTCCCACCAGTGGGTCTCACTGAGTGGGGAGCTGTTTCCCCACTGCCAATACAGCTGGGCCTTCTGGTCACCTCTATGCTCAGCCAGACAAGTCAAACACTTCCTCAGCATTCACCCCATGGTGGTATTCTCCGTCACTTTTTATCAGGACACATTTGCAGTGTGTAATGCTTACGTTCATTGTGTGGGGTTGGTGCGTGTGCATAGCACATCTTAATTCCTAGACTTGAAGTTATATTACAAAGCTACAGTCATAAAGCAGCATGGAACTGACACAAAACAGACTGTTGAATGGAACAGGACGGAGGATGCAGAAACAGCCCCAGGCACATTCAGCTGTGTGGTCTTCAACACAGGGGCCAGAAGCACACACTGGAGGAGGGGGCCCTCTCTAGTAAGTGGTGTCACACTAGGATTCAGGGGTCACCTAGGGATGATTTAAAGTACACAGGATCATGCAAGTTCTGTGCTGACCCAGTGTTTTGCATGAGGGATTTCAATGTGTACCCCAGGTGGGGCGTCCACTGGCTTGGGTACCCATGGGGGGCCCTATAAACCAATCCCTGCAGACATCCGGGAACCGCCCTGTGTGCTCGACACACACACCTGCAGAAGCTGTGAGACCTGGCACACACATTGCTGCTGGGAGGGCAAGGTGGGCCCTGAGTCACCGAGCAGCTTGCTGGGAAGGCATCCAGGATGACCGTGAAGATGGTATGCACCTCAGTGCACACACTCTGTGCAGCATGACACCACCAGTCACAGGTCACTGCTTACACTTCACCTCATGATGTGAGGGAAAGTTTAGCCCCAGGCACACAGGAGTTCTCAGCAGCCGTGCAGCATGCAGAGTGAGTGAATTTGTGTGTGCATGTGTGCACGTGTGTGTGTGCATGTGGGGTGCTGGAATGGAACCCAGGGCCCTGGGCATGCTAGGCGAGCACTGTACCACTGAGCCACATCCCAGGGCCTGACAGAGCCCTTCCATCCTAACAGGAAGCCCTGGTCCTGGTTGCTGGTCAGGAGAAGCCCAGTGTGGCAGGCTCAAGGAGCACTGAGTCACCTGCCAGCAGTGTCCCTCTGTCCAGGTGGTGCTTAGAGCTGGCAACGCTCAACGTTGGATCTGAGGCAGAAGTCCCTCTGCCTGCACAGCACCCCAGGCACACTCTGCAGGTGATGCACCAACCAGGTGACAGGGCTTCCCAACAGCACCCCCATTGCTGGCTTCACTCGGCACAGCGCCCACCTGGAAAGCGCAAGGTCCTGAGTTCAATTCCCCACACAAAAATGAAGAAAAGAAAATTATAGTGAATGTTTAAATTTTTTAAAATTCATTACAGTAAAGACACATTGTCAGCCAGGCATGGTGGCACACACCTATAATCCCAACACTAGGGAGGCTGAGGTAGGAGGATCATCACAAGTTCAAGACCAACCTGGGCTACAAAGTGAGCTCAAGGCCGGCCTCAAATGCATAGCAAGACCCTGTCTCTAAAAGAAAAGAAAAGAAAAAAAAGCATGACACATTGTCATGAATGCCCCTGAGAACCCTCCCCTGGCTCCAAGCACACCCACCCCAGCTCCCGAGTGTCTTCAGTAGCTCCGCTGTGGCTGCCCAATGTCCCAAATTGGTTCACAGCGCTTCCCTTTTGTGGTCGGTTGACTCTGGTGATGAGTCAGGGGTCACAGGTGTCAGGCCCAGTGAGTGGGGCAGAGGAGAACACAGCATCCTGTTTCCACGAGCCCACCTCTCTGTCAGGTGGCACCTTAGGGTCCTTTCCTTCTTTTATCCCTAGGCCTCACTGTACCCTCTGTCAGCCCACAGCCAACAAGAAGAAGGATGGGAAATGCTCAGGGCCACTGCTGGTAATGGGCGTGATCCCCTGTGGAGATTTGTCCACTGGGAGAGAAGCTGCTGGTCACAATGGCACCACTGGCTTGTTCATGTGCTAGTCGGCTTTTCAGTCACAGAGACCCAACACCCGACCCCCACTGTTTAAAGTGGGAGAGGTTTCATGGGGCCCACGGTTCTGGGGATTCAGTCCGTGGACGGCTCCCAAAGGCAGGAGCATCATGGCGGAAGGGGGTGGCAGAATGAAGCTGCCTAGTCTACAGCAGCAGGAAGCAGAACAGGGGAATGGCACGAGACAGGAAGCGCGGGACCTGACACAGATGCCAGGGCCACACATCTGTGACCCACACAGACACACCTGGAGGTGCTCCGCCAGCCTCAGTTGGCTCCCAGAGCCAACCACATTGGCACCGTGCCCTGTGAGGATTCTCTTTTCTGTAAACTTTCCAGTCTTGCCCTCTTCAACGCAGTGATGTTACCCAATCTCACTGCTTCACATTTTGTCTCACCACTTTCAAACCATAGCCTTTTTTACTTTTCATATCTTTTTCTGAGCTCTAAACTCAAAAAGATAGCATTGCAGCAATATATGCTTATGTGTTTACAGCAGCGCAAATCAAAACAGCTGAATTTTGGAAGCAGCCTGTATGTCCATCAACAGATGAAGGGGTTTTTTAAAATGTGACATATATGCACTACGGAGCACTGCTCAGCCGGAAAGAAGGATAAACTTGCGTCACGGGTAGAAAGGCAGATGTCCTTTGAGACTGGATGCTTACTTAGTGAAATACATCAGACAGGAAGGTTAAGTGCCACGTAGTTTCTCTCCCCTGAGAAACCCAAAGTATAAATAATCTAAAGAGCAGAGTAAAGGAGGACGGAGAAGAAGGAGAAGCATGCTGTAGAGACAGGATGTGGACCTGAAGATGGGAGGAGGGGAAGGAAGGGGCAGAAGTCATTGTGAGTGCCACTGCCCATGGTGAAAGGCTCTTATTATGTATTGCACACACAAAAAAATGTTTGTGAGAAGGGCGCACACTGTGGAGAGGTGCAGTCCTTGCTGGCATTCTGGGCCTCTCACCTTGGCTACTGCGTGGCACCGGAACTCAGCTCTGGGGCTGAACTCTCCGCGGCTCACGGAGCCAGTGCCCACCAGCCACCGTGGGCACGGGGCACGCAGTCTCTCGGCTGCCCGCTCCTCCCTCACCCCAGCAGCCACCTCACACATATGCATACTCACACACACTGACAGTCACACACATAACATACACCCCCCCCCACATAACACACTCATACAACACACACATGCACACATAACACACACAACATGCACACTCACACCCCTCAGCACATTCCACTCCCTGCCCGCCCTCTGGGTCCCCACTGTCCATCCAGCCAGATGGTGGGGATGTGAGCAGACTCGCCCGCCCCACATGAGAGCAGCACGATGTGTGTGACACGCAGGTCCTGAGAAGCTGTTCCCCGGAGACCTCCAGCGCCTTCCCTTGCAGTGGGGTGCAGCACCCCCACTTCCCATAGTCCTTTGGGGCTGGCCCTCAGGCCCAGATGACATCGCGCTCTCTGCAGCCTCAGGACTGTCCACGCACAGTCTTGGGTGTGTGTGTTCCCTAGCGAAGGGCAGACACCTGATCGGCTCCCCATGCAGGGAGCCTGGGTGTGGAGCCCTGTGTGGACCCCTTCCCTCCACTTCCCTCCCCTCCCCTCCCTTTCCTTCTACTGAGTGTCTCTGGTAGAGGCTCAGGGTCCACCTCTGCTCACCCTGCCTGTACCTGGGGCCCAGTCCTGGCAGCTGGATGCCTCAGCTCCCAGCCCCTCCAGCACTGCGGCCCCTGAGTGCAGCGCAGAGACTCGGCTCCTTGCGGTGACACTCAGCCCTGCTTATACCGCTTGGTCCTTGCTGCCTGGTTCCAGTCCTTGGGGAACTGTCCCACACAGCCTCCCTCTGGCTTCACTTTGTCCCCACATGGGAGCCCAAGCCCAGCTCTGCAGGCTCCTCCCCACCTTACTGGGGCTAAGCACTGTCCCCGGGGCCCAGAACACTGCCACTTTGCTCTCTAGGGAGCTGCGGACGCCATTTGCAGTGTTGTTCCCTGGGTCTCCACTGTGCCTGCAGTGGCTTTGGGGGACAGTGGGCTCCTGAGTGGCAGTGATACCCCTCACCTAGAGACCCCAACTTTGTTTTCTGGGCACAGTGCAAGGAATTTGCAGGCTCTGTGAGGGTGGGAGATGGTCTGGGGGGCTCCTGCAGCGGCAGCAGCTTGTGGGGTGACTGACGGAGCTGGCTCCTTGGCACCGGAGCCAGGGCTGTGAGGGAGGAGCAGAGGGAGATGGGCTGTGCAGAAAGCACTCCGTGGGTCCCAGGCACAGCTGTGCCCTCCAGTCCAGGTGGCCTAGACCTTTATCACCGCCCCGGTTAATGTTTAACTGGCGCTCAGGGTAAAGGTGCAAGGAGGAAGACTGCCGAGCAGAGTAGGGAGCCCAGCCACCGCTCCACCGCTGGGCCACGCAGCAGAGTCCACCAGACAGGCCTGGCAGGCACTGGGATTCCTGGCACGTAAGTCTCCGCTTTCCTATGTTCTTGGGTGTGTGTTACCACACATGGGGTCACTCAGGTCCCAAGGTGGGGAGAGGACCACTCCCGGAATGAGTGAGCAGGGTCACCATGCGCCACAACCATCTCCACACGAAGGGCTGAGCAGAGGTTTCCACACTGTGAGGATCAGGAGCTGATGTCGTGACACACACGCACACATCCATGTACAGGCATGCACGAACACATACAGGCACACATGCCTGTGGCACTGTAGCAAATGCCATGAGACACAGGTCCCATGGGCTCCACACCTCCCTCTGTGAGCAGAGCTCTGACAGCCCCTGACCCTCCGGTTCTCATGGAGTCGAATCCTTCGATCATGGGTGTGGTGGGCACACGTGTGGGAGGTGAGCCTGAAACAGGAATCCGTCCTGGGCCAGAGGGGCACCCTCAGGCCCACGAGGGCCTCTCCTGACATCCACGGTGTCTCCTGAGCAATGCGAGCTGAGAAGTCAGAGGTCTTCCTGCCATCTTGCACTGGTGCCAAGGGCCCCGGAAGGTCCCACAGGGTCCAGGAAGTCAGACCTGAGCCTGCACCGGGTGGGAGTCAGTGGTCCTCCCCCTGGAGAAGGGTACACACTCCCCTCTAACCACAGCCGGGTTGCTGTGGGACTAAAGCAAGCAGGACGAGGGCTGGCAGGGGCTCCCATGGCCGCAGCAGGTCCTAGGGTGCAGGGATATGGGGCCAGGATGGTACCTTGCCCTCTGGGCTGAGCTGGGAGGAGGTGCACCCCGGCTGCCCCAGCGCTCTCTACACCCCTGTGCTTGCAGAGTGGGTTCCAGGCACTCGGGAGCCAGGGTAACATGGTGCTCTCAGAATCTAAGTCGAAACTTCCAGGTGTTAAAAATGACCAAATGATTTGTGAAGACATGCAGCCGTCAGCATGCAGTGCTGTCCCTCTGCTTTGCTCTACCCTGGTCACCAGGACAGAGAGAGGCTTGAAGGCAGCCTGTCTGAACTGCGAGAGGCACAGGCCATTGGAGTACCTGACTCAGTTAAGTTAGGGTTTCTTTCCTTTTTTGAGATAGAGTCTCACCTAGTTGCTAAATTACTCAGGTTGGCATTTACAACTTCCTGCCTCAGCCTCCCAGAGTGGTGGGATTACTGGTATGCACCCACTGAATTAACTTATTATTACATGAAATTATCAAAGTTTCACTCTACCAAGAATAGAATTCTAAACATGCAAATAACTTTAATTGCATAAAGGAAATCTTGATGTAATGATGTGAAGAAAACAATAAATACTCTAGCATGGTGGGAAACCTCAGCAAACCTTTACCAAAAACCCAGTCATCTTGATTTAGTGACCATGGGTAGAATCCTGCATCTAATGTCTGGTGGGAACACTGAGAAGAGAAAAAGTGCACAAACCCTGCGAAACAGGGGAGGTAAATCTTACTGAGCTACATTCACAAAGGCGAGGTGTCATCCAGCCCTAAAACCCTGTTTAATGGGAAAAGCTCTGCACAGCATAGGTCTAGGCTTTAAATCCATGGAATGAAATTGAATTAAGCAGATGTTGCCTCAAGGGCACAGTGGAGGGTCAGCGCCAGGCCCCTGAGGCTGGGAAGTGAGGACAGGGACAGAAGGTGGTGACACAGCCATGACTCATGAACCACGTGCACATAATTAATGGATAATTAACATGTTAAGAGATTAATCAGCAGCCGGGATACCAATGGGTGCATGAGACTCAATCACAGTTCTGTGTGTTAGCAATGAACACTTACTGTCTTATTAGTAGCAAAATCTTTTCAGATATTCACGAGACATTGTGTTTCCATTCCCCACAGACACTCTTTCCCCATGGGTTTTCTTTTTCTTATCAAATAGGAATCTTCATGCTATAGATTGAACCCATAATCAGAGGTCAATCTTTTTCAGGTCTTCTAGCTTCTACTTCATGCTTGATAACATACTCAAAGTTGTCAATCTATTAGAGTCAGTTGAAGAAATGACTCATTTAAGACATCCTTCCAATCCAATATCATAAAAATAATTTCTGTTCTTTAGAAAACTTAGCTTTTATGTCAGGGCATGGTGGCCTATATGTGTAAGTCCAGCACTCCGGGAAGCTGAGGCAGGAGGATCCCAAGGTATATACTTTACCTTGTGATAATTTACCAGCTTAGATAATTTACAGACTTAGCAAGAACCTGTCTCCTAATTACAAAAATTAATAAGTACTGGAGATGTAGCTTAGTGCAAAATCCCTGGGACAAACCCCAGCACAGAAAAGTTATCAACTAAATAAATAAGCAAACTCTCACAGTTGAGGCTGTAATCCCTCTGGGTCTAATTTTTGTGTACGACGTGAGTGAGGGATTCAGCTTTGCTCTTTGCAAGGAAGACTCAGACAACAACAGCAGAAAGACTGCACTGTTGACCAGTGCTGGTTGGATATCTGGTTGGATACCAGCTCCTTGGCGCTCCCTAAGACCTGGCCCCCAGTCTGTCCCTGCACCTGGCACACACACGCTGCTGATCTGGCTATGCTGGTGACCACGAAGCAGATCCACAGCCTTGGGGTGCACTGGCCTTCCTGAGACGTTGCCTACCGAGCTAAGTTTTGTTCAGTGATAGTGCGGCTGCTCCTCACCAGTCCAGAGGCTCTGAGTGCTGGGCACAGCCAGTGTCCACTCAGGGACTGGATGTGGATTCTGTTCCCTGGATTCTTCACCTGCATCTTCCCATGGATGTTTGTGGGCTTCTGCAGGGGACGGGGCAGCCTAGCAGGCACCTAAAGGCCAGCGCTCCCCTTGGACGTGGGGCAGCAGGTCCTGGCAGGGCCAGAGCCCTCTGCCTCTGGACTCCCCCACCCTTGGGCTCCTACTGCTTCGGGCCCACAGTTGCTCCTGCTTGTGCCCCCGACGTCTCCACAGCGGAGCAGTGGTACCTGATTGATTCACTGGATCAATCACCACTATAGCAGTGGAGCGGCCGTCAGCAGAAGCCGTCTGGATGTTGGGGATCAGATCTGTGCTTGGATAAAATCTGTTAAGAGTCTTATTATGCAAGGTTCAAACAATAACAGCAGAAAGACTGGGGAGAAGCAAGGATGTCCAGTGGGTTTGGAAGAGCCTCCTCCCCGGCCCGCAGTGAAGCCACCCTTGCCTGCTCTGGGAGCCTAGCTGCTTGGTCCTGGTGACCCTGATGGACCCGTAGATGAAACCCAACCTGCTGAAGCGGAAGCAGCTTTTCTTCCTGAGAAAGGTAGAGGGGCCTCCCTTCCTCAGGTGACTCAGTTCTGGGGGGCCACCTCGGCCAGGGAACCTACTTCCTTCTGTAAGGTGGGCTGCAGCAGAGACGCTACCCCTGCCTCTCCTGTCACCATACCCGGGGATTCCCAGACCTCCTAGCAGGGCTGTGAGGAACAGGTTTCGTGGCTGTCCTAAGAGAGGGGTCTGCATGGGACCCCGAGCTCGGTTTGCTCAGAGGTTTGTCCATATTGGGGGCCAGAAACACCAGGGTACATGGTCCAGCCCAGTTAGTGAGCAGAGATAAGCAGTCTGCACAGTCAGGGGACCGGGGCTGTTACGGATTAAAAGCTGGTGGTCAACTTAACACCAGATGAATTAAATCAGCATGGTGCTGGACGTAGATGTTCCACCTGAGGAAAGTTGCCAGCATAGCGATGTGGAAAGGAAGAGCAAGGCATTGTGGGTTCTCCCACGTGTTGCTGTTTGAGCCCTTGGTTCTCCTGGAAGAGCTTGTCATGACTAGCTTCCCCAGTGTGAGTTTGGCCATTATCATCAAAGGACCACGGGACCTTGTTGGTAGGGTGGGTGTGGTTCGCTTTGTGGAGCTCTGGTCCTTAAATTGAACATTGTTTCATGGCTCTGCGGGGAAGATGTGTACTGTTTAATTTCCAGGAGAAACTCATCACGCTGGCTTTCTGGCATGTACTCCACTGTTCTTATCATTGGAGGAGCTCGGGACCTCTGTGTTGCTTAGGATAGCCATGGTACTTTTCAGGACGGCCATGGTACTTTTCAGGACAGCCCTGGTCTTTGTTGTGAGTGTGACACCTCGGCTCCAGTGTAGAACCCTCAACCTACCAGTACAACTCCTTCTCCCCAATGGCATGGACTTTCTGGCTTCCACCACTGATCTTTGGCTGTTCCCAGCACAGATCCATAAAACAGACTGGCATGAGTCCTTCTTGTGGGTTCTAGACCTCCAGCTGGACTCGTGGAAGGCATTGTCACGGGCTCTAGGTTCTCACCTGGACTCATGCAGGACACTGCTGTGGAATCCAGGCCCTGGCTGAATGTTCTGAGTCTTTGGTGTTGTGGACAGATTTCCTGCACTTTCTTGTGTTTAACTCTGGGTGACCATCATAAAATAATACTATAAATTCTGTGTCCTGATTCTAACTGTACTTCTCACAGCCCCTGACTATAGCACTGGCTGTGTTTAGACACAAACACGATGCATAGTGACAGCATTTCTTTCTGAAAACCTTCTTTTTGCCATTGTCCCATGCTGGGGGTGAATGTGGTCCCCGAAAGGGGGAGCGGAGCCTGGATGATCCTTTGTGTAGCACCTGGATTTTATCCTCCTGGTGTAAGGTAAATCTCAGCCTGTGACGGTAGCCCGCTGGGATGGGCGCTTCAAGCTTGGCGGGGTGGCGTCTGGGTTGGGGCATCTGTTCCGCAGTGCGGGTCAGCTGAGGGAGGAGAGCACAACTGAAAGGTGAGATGGAAGTTGGCGGGGTGAGTGGACCCAGCAGCTCACGACTGTGAGTTTGTTGTTTCTATACTTGGCTGTCCTGACATCTGAGCAGATGGAGTCACAGGCCATGATCATGGTCACGAGGAAGAGGAGATTTAGGATACAGTCTCATTAGAATGGGGTGAGTCCCCAGGATTACTCCAGAGACCCCCTATTGGAGAGGTGGGTGGTGGCTGTGAAAAGACCTTTATGCATGTGGCTGTAAGTCATGGGATGTGATGGT